ACAATAATAGTGAAAGGTGGGAAAATAATTTATTCACTACAGCTATGTTAGGAAAATAAGGGGGATCAAACGTCTCTAGAGTACTGACAAGGGCTTCAGAATTAAATAGAGGAAGACCTGAAGCAGCCAGCAGGAGGCTCCAATATTTAAGCAGTCCTGTTCAAACTGTTGGTTTGACTGATCGTTATCTCAAGTCTGGTTCTGCAGATGATTGCAGAGAAGTCATTATTGCTAGAAGGGGCGATCCAGGTTTTATCATGAGATGATTATCCTGTGTGGGGGAGGCGACCTCAGTTCCTGTCCTGGACTGATTGCTCCCAGGTAGGCAGGCAGTCTGGTCATGGGGTGATCTGCCTGTTAGACTCTGCTGTTCCTGGAACATTTAGGGCAATGATCCCTCTCACAGGTTTACCTTATGCACACAGTGTTTCCCAATTTGCATAGAGTTGACAATCTCATCTGAGGTGAGGTTAATTCCTTTTTTTAGTGGCTTTTCCTTGAAGGTTTTTAAGCTTGATCATATTCAGTCCTGTACAGAAACAAGGAAGCATTTGCTTATTATTTAAGACTTTATACTTTGTTTCTTTTCTAGGTCTATATCAAGAAAGTTTGGTTTAGAAAAGTTTCTGAAAATAGTGCCTTTATTTAATTTCTCTAAGACAAATCTCTAGACAGATCCAAGGAATAGAGACATGTCAAATTGACCAGTGCAATTGTTGTTTATTTATTTAAATAAACAAAGCTTAAGCCAATCGCCTCCAGTGACCTACTTTCTCCAGCCACACCCTCCCGGCCTACAATCATCACCCAGTCAGTTAATCCACTAAAGTGAATTAATGCACTCATTGGATTAAGACTATCAAAACCCAATCAATTTACCTCTAAACTTTCTTGTATTCTGTAACGCACGAGCTTTTAGGGAACATCTCATATCGAAACCATAACACCAATTAATTCTAAATGTCACTTAACTATTGGGGCTGGGCTTGTGGCTCAGTGGCAGAGTGCTTGCCTTGCACATGTGAGGCACTGGGTTCGATCCTCAGCACCACATAAAAATGAATAAACAAAATAAAGATATTGCATCTCTGTATAACTAAAAAATATTTTATAAAAGCTTAACTATGTATCCTAATTCCATCAAAGCTTTTACCCCAAATGACATGATGTTTTACATCACGTATATAGTCATCAAATACTCTCAGAGAAAGCCTCTAGAAGTAGCTGTTGGATAAATATTGTGACAGTTATCATGGTAAATCAAAAGCCTGTAAGAAATCCACTGCTTTACTTTTACATTTTATTTGATGTATATAAATATTTTTGTCTTTTATTCCTAAGGGATGAGAGTCCAATGAAAGCAAACTTCCTTCAAGGAATTGGTGCAGTAGCATAGACTTGCACTGCCAGTGACTTAGGAGGCTGAGACAGGAGGATCACAAATTCAAGGCCAGCCTCCAAAACTTAGCAAGACCCCCATCTCAAAATAACACAATGGCTAGATATTATCTCATTGATGAAGCAACTCCAGATTCAATACACACACACAAAGACATAACAGAATCTGCACTTTCATATTATCAAATTATGAGTTCTTGTATATCCACAGCAAGTAAATAAATGAATGAATAAAGAAACTTGATCTAGTTATTCCTAAGGAAATTGTAACCATTCAGGATTCTTGGATGTATGTAATTCCTTCCTTTTGTGTTTATGAACTACATTGATGATAAAGATGTTTTCGCCGTGATTTCAGTAAACTATAAACAATAGAGGACAATAGCAGAGACCAAAACAATCAACTCTGAACTATTGTTTTTGGTATTTTTGTTCCTAAAATATTAATGGACTGGGGATATAGCTCAGTAGCAGGGCACTTGCCTAGCACGTGTGAAGCTCTTGGTTCAACCCCCCAGTGCCAACAAAACAAAACAACCAAAGTATATCTACATATGATTAGATACCTTTATTCTTTGTTGCCAATTATATTTGAGTTATCATGTATTGAAATAAGAAAAGGCAATATTGCAGAGGCAAAGAATTTTGGTAAAATAAAGACTTTTGTGTTCCACATGTTTATTTATCATTTTTATTTTTCTGATATTTTGGTTGTTACATTTAAAATCCCAAAACACCAAGCATTGCAAGGAAGTTACAAGTCTATTGACAATGATCTTTTTTTTTTTTTTTTAACCAGGAATTGAACCCAAGGGTGCTTAGCCACTGAGCCACATCCATTTTTTATTTTGAGACAGGGTCTTACTAAGTTGCAGAGGCTGGCTTTGAATTTGAGATCCTCCTGACTCAGCTTCCCAAACCACTGGGATTATAGGCATGTGTCACTGTGCCCTGTGACAATGGTCTTTTTAAAATCAGAAAATACAAAAAAAATAAATAAATAGAATGTAGAAAAACTAGAATTCATTCCCCATACTTCTTTTCTTTCTTTAAGGAAGACAAAGGAGCATCATGTTAATTAAAACTAGAGTAAACTAAGTGTAGTCTAGGTTGAGAAGAATTTGAAGGAAAGTGTTCAAGCTTTAAGTGTTCTCTATGGTTGAAGGACAATATCACTTTGATTCGAAGTGAAAGCTGTAATTAGGTGATTTTCTGGTTTGGCTGCAGAAGACATGCCATACTATTTTAATATTCAGTGAAAACCCTTTCAGCTGTTTTCATAAATATATTGGAACTGACAGTGATAATAGAGAAATGAGAAATTTTAATTGTCTTGATTTTTGACATTTTTCTTTTTTAAAATTGTTTGTTTCTGGTACTGGAAATTGATTTTTTTTTTTTAAGAGAGAGTGAGAGAGGAGAGAGAGAGAATTTTTAATATTTATTTTTTAGTTCTCGGCGGACACAACATCTTTGTTGGTATGTGGTGCTGAGGATCGAACCCGGGCCGCACGCATGCCAGGCGAGCACGCTACCACTTCAGCCACGTCCCAGCCCCCTCTGGTACTGGAAATTGAACCCAGAGATGGTTTACGGCTGAGTTACATCCCCAGTTCCTTATTTATTTATTTGTTTGTTTATTTATTTATTTATTTATTTTAAAGATAGGTCCTTGTTAAGTTGCTTAGAGCCTTGCTGAATTGCTGAAGCTGGCCTTGAACTTGTAGTCCTTCTGCTTCAGCCTCCTGGGTCGCTGGGATCACAGGCATGCCACTACTCCTGGGTCTTGTGGGGTTTTGCTGGATACATTTCTGCTCTCTGATACATAGTAAGTGTTGGCAAAAGGAGGATCAGTGAAAGAAATTAAAGTTCTCTTAAATGCTATCTCAAATGTTTCAGCAACATTTTTCTAAGGTGTTTAATAATTAAGTTTTAATGAAACAGTAACTTTCAGATTTATATCCATATGGGCTAACTTTAACTGAAATGTTTAGGATGGTCCCTTCAGGAGTACACAACTACTGTTTACCAGATGGATCAGAATAATTGGGTTTCTTGAAAATATCATCTTCCTTAAATAGGATTAAAATTTGTTTTCATCGTTCAAGTGGCGCATTCAACTGAAAATTTTCTTGAAAGCTGCTTGATATATTAGGAAGCAATTTTCAAATTTTAACAAATCAAATTTATATTTACCCCTCTTTTTAAGAAGCAAAGTCATAACACACTGATGTTCTTTTAAAGAATTAAAATTTTCTTCTCAATGTGATTTATGTATTGACATTCCTAGGTCCATTCTTAAAGAATCTTACAGAGAGAAACATTTATGCTTCTAGGGATAATCTTCCTTGTGCCTCACTGCCTCCTAAATGGATATTACTTTTTTTTTTCTTCCATTGGTACTGGGGACTGAAATCAGGGACACTTTACAACTAAGCTACATCCCAGGTCCTTTTTATTTTTTATTGATACAGGGACTCACTAAGTCGATGAGGATGACCTCAAATTCGTGATCCTCCTGCCTTGGCCTCCTGAGCCAATGGGATTACAAGCATGCACTACTCTGAAGTGCTTGGTTATTATTTTTTTTGTTGTTGTTGTTTTTTGGCTTAAACAACAGAACTTTATTTTTCACAGTTTTATTCCTTACAGTTCCCTACAGGCTATAGGTCCAAGATAAGGTACCAGCTGATTCAGTTGCTAGTGAGAAATCTCTTCCAGGCTTTCAGACAGCTTTCCTTCTCACTGTGTTCTTGCATGGTGGAAAGACAGAGGGATCTGATGTATTTGTCACTTCTTATAAAGTTATCACACTGTTACTTTAGAGCCCCACCCTTATGACCTCATTTAACCTTATCACCTCCTCATAGATTCTGCTTCCAAATATAATTCCTTTGGGGCTAAGGCTTCAACACATAATTTTTGTATGTGGTGGGGGGAGGATACAAAAACATTTAGTGTCTAACAGAACTTTTTAAAAAATTTTTTGGTATTTGTTTTAATTAGTTATACATGATAGTAGAATGCATTTTGATATAGCATATATAATGGAGTATAATTTCTCATTCTTCTGATTATGCATGGTGTAGAATCCCATCGGTCATATAGTTATATAGGTACATAGGGTAATAACATGACTCTTGTTATTACTGCATGCTGTGTTAGCATATATTTCACAAATTTACTTTAAAAAATATTTTAAAGGCTGGGGATATGGCTCAGTGGTCTAGTGCCCCTGAGTTCAATCCCTGGTACCCACCCCAAAAAAACATTTTAGATATTGTGTAACATGCACAATCCAAAGTAATTTTATAACAGTTAAAAAAAACATAAAGTTCAGCCAGGTGTGGTAGCACACACCTGGAATCCCAGTGACTCAGGAGGCTCAGGCAGGAGGATTGCAATTTCAAGGCCAGCCTTACCAATCTGGAAAGGCCCTAAGTAATCTATCAAGTCCCTGTCTAAAAATTTTTAAAAATAAAAA